ACGCCTCCTCTATCACATAGTCAATTACCGACTCCCCTCTCCCTCCAGTATATGTCACCTCCCTATCTTCATCCCCTTTCGTGTCTCCATTCCAAATAGACCATCCCACCTCTTCTATTTTATTCACCACCTTTTTTCCCTCCGCATTGATCTTCCTATCTTTCAATCTTCTTACTACTTCTCCACTTTCTTCTTCTTCACCATTTCCCCACCTTCCCTTCCCGTTCTTGCATTAAAATTCCCTTCTAAAATTGTTCTCACATCCTCTTCTTTTTTCTCATTAAACCCTTTATCTCATCCAACATTCTTTCCACTCCTTCGCTATTGTACAGTACTATCACCTTCCACCATCCATCTCCTATTTTTATATTTTTAACCAGAATCCTCTCCCTTTCCTTCCAATTCTCTTTTTCCTTCCATTCTAGTTCCTTTTTTACCCCCATCATCATACCCCCTTTTGCTCTACCTTTTTTATTTCTTTTCTTTGCCCACTGCACCTTCCAATTATACTCTCTCGGCAGCATGCCTCTCACTTTTTTTCATCCTTTTTCATCTACCCATGTTTCCATCAAACACATTATATCCCACTCCCTTAATCCTTCCCAAATTTCCCTTTTCTCATTCCTGCAACATTTCAAAACAGTTATCTTTCTTATTTTATCCATTTTTTTCTTATCTTCCTTCCTTCTCCCTCCCATGACCATCTCTATCTTTTCCTCTCTTTCCCCCTCTCTCTATTTTATCATTTCTCCCCTCTTTCCTCTCTTTGTTTCCCTAATCTTTCTTCTGTTTCCTTCCGCTCACTTCTCTCAATCTTTCTCATCTTTTCCAATTCCCCTAACTCCTCGTTCCACTTCCACCAATCACCTTCAATTCTCATTTTATCTCCCTCCACCCATACATTCTTTCCTTTTTGCCTTTCCTCTACTGCTATTTTTCCCAATTTTCTTTTTATCTCCCTTTCCTTCCATGTCCAGTCCTCATCAATCCAAATAACAGACAAATCACAGAAGAATAATCGATTGTGAGTGGTCAATTTCTTACAACTTACAGCTTACGACTGTATTGTAGAACAGGCCTTATGTATCTGTGTTTGCTGGAAAGGAAAGCTCTCTCCTCACGCGAAAAACTAATAGAGAAGTTTGCCAAATTACAGAATACGAAAATTACGGAGACTCGACTGTAGATGGAAAGAAGAGTCAAATGATATATCATTAGAAAGGTCTTTCAATTTTGTATATTTTTACATTTGATTTTTTAAAATTTGATCAATTCGAAGATACAGGATGTTAAATCTAACAATAAAACATACAAATCTTCATATTAATTAATGAATCAGTTCATTAACCAATAGAGGTATCTAAAAATATGCTATTGTAAATTAGCGTGATAATTATTCGAAATGTTGACTACCAACTTTCATGCAATAACAGATTCTGCTTGAAGCGTTACTGTACATTCTTGACGACATTTGTTGTCAAGACATTTATCGATACGGTAACGTATCGTTATCGAATTTTCTAAAAAAGCCGATTGTGTTACATAAAAAGTGACCCTAAAAAGGGATCAAATTTCACCCGTTTTGGGATCTTCAAATTTTGAACTAAATAGTGTGCTAAATGATAGCTCATGATGAGAAATTGATCGCAGAAAAATTTTAGATTAAGCCTAATTTTCGTTTTGGAGATACGCGAGGTCAAAGTTATTAAGTTGAGTGAGAAAAGAGTATTGGTATCGTGACATATGTCACAAATAAATCAAAACCGTCTATTGGAACTTACTGATTTGGATGGGACAACTTTGCACACCTGTAAAATTATGACACATAATCGACATATATACACAGTGCATTCGAAAAGTTCCGGGACTAATTTTTTTTAAGAAGGAAAACACAAGTTATGTAAAAATGGTTTATTCAGCTTTCAACATACTCCTCTCCTCTTTCTATATAAATTTTTGATCGTTTGTAGAGTCGCTGGAAGGCTCCAAAAAAAGCCTCTTCTGAAATTTCCCTGATGACACGTTCCTTTGGATGTCCGTAACATCGTCAAAACGCTCCCTTCATCATCGTTTTTAATTTCGAGAACAAAAAAAAGTTTGCAGGAGCCAAATCTGGCGAATACGGGGGGTGGTTGATGACTGTGACCTCTTTTTTGGCTAAAAACTGCGACACTAATATTGACATATGCGCCGGTGCGTTGTCATGCAAAAGGAACCAATCGCCGGACCGGTACTGTTCCGGCCGCACGCGCCTTATTCGTTTCAATAATCTGTCGAGAACATCTTTGTAAAAGGCAGCATTCACTGTTTGGCCCGGAGGAACAAATTCATTATGGATAATGCCATGAGAATCGAAAAAAGAGATGAGCATTGTTTTGATTTTGGATTTCGCCGCGCGGATTTTCACCGGCCGCCCTTCACCATGACTCCGCCATTCCATAGTTTGATACAACATTTCAAGTGTTTTCGAAGCGGATTTCTTCAAATTAAAACAAAATTTAATTGCAGCACGTTGCTCCATCGTAAAGATCGTGACACGCGTAATCAAATACACACACTTCCGACACTTCGCACTCGCTACTGAATCGAGATAGCGCTTTGAAATTTTTACAGTAGCTAAAGGAAGAGTGAAAAAAAAAGTTCCGCAATGGAAACACAGATAGCGCCACTTTTCGATTTTATACAACATCAGTCCCGAAACTTTTTGAATGCACTGTGCATGTTTTTTATATCAGAAGTGCACTCTAAAGTGACAACCTCGATGTTCAGAGTCGTAAGCAACGATCTTAAACGTGTAAATAATCATTTTGTGCGTGTCAATTGATAATTATAAAAGTTAATTAGTTAATGTCCGCCATTTTGATTTGAAATACTAGTCCCGAAGTTTTGTTAATCAGCGACTACAAAAATTTTCCAAATTCACTTTATCTATTCAATCACGCAGAATATATATGAATTCTAATTAAAACGTGAAAATCTCCTTTCAATTTGAGAGGTTGTCATTCTTTAGAGTGCACTTCTGATATAAAAAAATATGTCAATTATTTGTCATACTTCTACAAGTGTGCGAAGTTGTCCCATCAAAATCAGTGAGTTCCAATAGACAGTTTTGATTTATTTATGACGTATCTCACGATACCGATTTTCTCACTCAACTTAGTAACTTTGGCTCAATCTAAAATTTTTCTGCGATCACTATCTCATCATAAGCTATCATTTAGCACACTATTTAAAATTTGAGGATCCCAAAACGGGCGATTTTTAGGGTCATTCTTGTTTTGCATTTTTATTTTTTTAAATTTCCTTAAAAGTGTTTTGCATTATATAATAGTTTTTTTAGATTTTGCTTTAGCAACTTGCAAGGCCTTCCTTCCTTCAATACAAAAACCAAATATAAAAAAAACTTAAAAATTAACATTAAATTGGCCTTTAAGAGCCAAACGCTGAATGTTCATGCAAAATGAATATATATAAAAACGAAACACAAATACTTCGGTGGCCAAATTGGGAAGACAATCGCACGGAAAGCGAGAAATTCCATGTTTGACTTTTAATTGAGGTGTTGTTTTTTTGCAATATTTTAAAATTAGATAGGGTGAACGGGTAATTCTTATATATGTGATTCAAATCCAGTATCCTATATGAATCAAAGAATTGAATTTTTAATTCAAAATGCAGTTATTACACTGAAATAACATATATATGTATATATTTATATATTCGTATGAACACCCAGTGTTTGGCTCTTAATGACCAATTTAATGTTAGTTTAGAATTTCAAGAGCCTTACTTACTTCTTCGTTTAAAAAACTAAAATATTGTAGCATATTTACCGTAAAAGTAATGATTCAGAATTCAAAACATTTTGGATGTCTTAAAACATTCCTTGCCTTGTATCTTCTAAATCTATCTATCTTCTAAACAAATTGATTGAATTTAAAAAATTAAACCTAAGAATGTAAGAAATTAAAAGATTTTTATACTAATGTATTATTTAATTCTTTTATTAAAAAGTTTTGAGGAGTTGGCTCTTTAAAGAATTTTAAGCTAGGGATAAGAATTTTACGTCGAAAAATTGGTTTCCTCCTAAAAATCAACCTGGTTTTGCGTTTTTTCAACCAATCATTTTTTGAAAGATATTAATTTATTTTGTTTTTGATGCCACTCCGTATGTACACACACATACACACACGCATACATATCATATTGAAATGAAATTATGCGGAAGAGCTACGACTGGCGGACTTTTTTACATATTTTTTATTCCATGTACTTTTACGTCACGATTTCCTGATTTCTCAGTTGATCGACGCCGTTTCTCGAAATATCCACATACGGTCACATTTTACCTCGATATGTCGTTATTTCGCGACCGACCGCGTAACGGAACTATTTCACGTCGCGGATTTACAAGCGTGAACTGAGCGAGGTTTATTGCGACGCGCGCGCAATGAAAAATAGGCAGCATTGAGTAAGCACGATAACTATTGTGTATCACGATAAGTAGCATTCCATTCTGATTTGATAGAGCTTTCAAGTAGTGCAAATGCAGCATTGTTACTAGCATGTATTAACTACACATCATGAAAACGGATCTCTTCATTTTTATTTTTTTATTCGTATATCTATATTTTCTATTTTTCATGATTTTATCTTTTATTTCTCACAATTTTACTGGAGAAAGTTTGGATATAGCATCAAATAATCATATTAACGCCATATGCGTGAGAAGTGCATTTATGGGGAATATTGATTCCTTTTGAATTTTTTACTCGCAAAACACGTGATGAGTTCTCTCTCAAACTTCAACAATCGCAGACTTTTCTTGAATTTTAATACTGGAAGCGACGATCATTTTATCGTGACATATGCTAAATTGTTTTTTGTTTCTTTTTGTGTCTTATCTTGTATGAAGAGAAGTGCTCCGTGTATATTTGATGTGCCGCTGATGGAGTCCATTACACAACAAGCAAGAGACTTGAAAAGTTTTTTTGTTTCAGTTCCGAGATCGGTGTTACGAGATCAATACGATCAGGGCGACAGCGACTCGGACGAAGAGAAGTTGGAGCCAGAGGAAGGTTTCGACCGGGCCGACTTTAAGGGAGAGTTCAGCCCAAGTCCAAACCTCGAAGGACCGCAGTCGCAACCTCGCGACAATGCCTCCGGAAATTTTCCGACTGTTAGCTCGTCGCCGCCTCACGCGCGAACCAACGACGGTGAGCATCGCACGTTGTTCGCGACAAATTGCACGTTGTTATGACAAATTCTACACATATTATAAAGCATACATCATTTTATTAACCTAACAAACTGTTGATAAATCTCATAATAGTGACTCATATATTTTAAAAATAAATAAAATAATTTTATATATACATTCTTTTCACAAAGCATCTTTTTTCAAAAAAAAAAAAAATATCTACATTCATGATATGGTAAAAAAATGCAGTGTTTTACTTTTTTATTTATTAAAAATGTAAGCAAAATTATATCGCACATGATACAGATACTTATATATACAATGTACAATATATTTTTTAACAAAACTTAAACTTTTAAGCAACACTTGAAACGATGTTGCGAACTTGAACTGTTCTGTAGTGTTTGTGTTCGGAGATATAATTCTGTATATAGTAGCATGAAAATTGTTTGTCTATAGCTGTATGTGTATATATTTTCGCATGTCCGCTTTTCCATAATGATCGGCTTGCATAAACGCAGATCAGTACGTGCGACACAGCAGATTATTAGAGCAAGATTACGTGCAGGTAATATGCTTGAGCGTTAAAGGTGCTTGAATCCAACTTGGGTGTCGGGATTATGAAAATTTATTTCGGCGGAAGTTTCTCGCCCCGAGGCGGTCACGAGAGCAGCTGATTAATTCCGCTCATTTATAAATAACCGCATAATTGTATGATTATATGCGAGTGACGAAGTAAATTATTATTTCCATGACTAATTAATCTCGGCGCCAACGAGCGTTGGGACGTCGTCGTCGACGCGGTATACATTTATACATTTCACTATGTCTACAAATATATTATCACGATGCATTTTATTTCGCGACAAAATGTGTATACAAGTTAGTAGGAGGAAACAATGAAAGAGCCGAAACGCAATACAAAGTAAACGTTTATGACGCATTTATTCGGAAACAATAGCGGATGATAATATGATATTTAATATGCAAAATAACTTGTATTTAAATAGCGTTTTGACGTTTGTAATGGCGAATGAAAATGTAGTCAAACTTCCTTGTTTTTTCCGCTGTTGTAAGTTCTTTTTATTGTTATCGCGGTTCTGACGACCGGTTCATATAAAAAGACATATTAAAATCTATTTTCATTCCGTTCTTTTCGTAGCAATCAAGAAAACTTTTCGGCGCATTGAAACGTTTTTCCGACCTCTTTTTTCTTTGCGCTTGCTGCGTGCCACATAAAAATTCGAGAGGAAGTGCCCGTTTTTGAGTTTCTCTTATTGCCGCACCAGAAGTATCAGAATGTATGTAACTATATCTTGTAGTAATGTCTGTGCAAAAAATGGCAAATTCAAAAAAGAGAAAACTAGAAGGAAAAGAGCCGGTGGCATCAAGTCGTTTTATATTCAATTCACCTGCGAGTGTTTTTTCCCTTCTGAGTTTTATTTTCTTTTTCTTTTCTTTCTTTTTTTTTGCAAAAGTTTTGTCAGAAGCGGTATATCGAACTAGTGTTATTAACGTTGCATGCATTTCGTGTGTTTCTTTATTATCTCACGTCTCATTAGCGCTTTCGGAGTTTTGCGGAAATTTCTCGTTCAATATTTAAGCCGCGCGCGCCGCACGCAGGCATTTGCAGTAATACAACTCGATCTACTGTGATGAGCGATTTAGTATTTAGGCCAATGCACTTGAACGATTCATCCCGATATTTATAGTCAGCCGCATCTCGAGACGCATTTTAAATGGCTCTCAAGTGTCCGTTGCGACAGGGTTTTTCGCTTTTGTCATTTCCTCTCTTAACTCCGTGAAACGCCATTATCCATAAAATGTAGAACTTTGCCACTAAGACGAACTAACTAATGGAATAAACCGAGCGTTTCATCGTTCGAAAGAGAGAAACCAACTCATTAAAGCACCAGGCGGAATTAGGTAGGTCGATCGGTTCAGAAGTTCGGTTTCAAAGATCGCCTGACCGGGCACAGTCCTGTAATTGGATATGCATTCACTCGAACACTTCTTGCTGACGCCTTTGCTTCGTGGTCCGTTGAATCATTTGCTGTTGCCACCGGTTATACACTTGAGTTGCCTTTACAGAGTGGAAAGCAATATGCAAAAGCATGCATTAGAGTTGTATAAAGGCAAAAAAGGTATAAAAGATAAGTAATACAAAGAGAAACATTTCCGTCATATCTTTGATTCGAGCTTCGCGCTCAGAGAATTCAACGTTTGATATGTTACGTTCAATATGATAAAAAAGTGCAAATTATATTGTACGTTGTATATTTTCTACTTTGAAGAAAAGTCCAAATATTATTTCGGAATTGAAATGACCAAACCTTTATCCTATATATATATATGCTATTTTTATCTGCTTATTTATGGCTCAGCTGAAGCATGGATTCGGAAGAACATGCGCGAAGATAAAAATACTGATAACATTAGATTGGTTCGTACGGAGATTAAATATAATATATCGGTAATCCATTCCGTTCATCCTGCGTGTATAGCATCGATATGTGATACGGCAATGAAATATATCTTGTGGTATATATATACATACACATAATATACTATTTGTTATCTCATTGCGATGAATATATCGGCAGACGAGATTCAACTCTCGAGGCAATAACGTTTCGAGTATTTATAATCCTAGCTTGCAATGCCAGACATTGAAATATTAATTAACTGCAATCAAATTGGAATAAGAACTTCATATACACAAGAGAAGATATGTCATCGAATTTAAAAATATATTAAAATAACTTTTAAAATATAAATCAAATGTGCATTTTAAATATGTAACACAAAGGAAATATTAAAACAAGTTGCATTGTATTAATAAGAAAGTTATTTTATTCTTCTAATAAGAAAGTTATTCTCTACTTTGATTATATACATATACGTATAAACTACACATGTCTTGACTATATATTGACTGTACATATTGGATGTTTCAAAAGTAAAAGTCAATCGCTCGGGAGGTAATTAGAGACATAAAAAGAGAAAAAAAGTTGATATAAACATAGATCCAAAAATGTGCGTTATTTTGAAGTTATCACAATTTGAAATTTGTAATTACAATCCATGTGATTTTTATTTTTGGCGTCATTTTTAAAATCCTTTAGTTTATCAAGAAGCACGGTAATGTGCGCGAGCACACTGTGCCTCTTATACGCGAAATTTAGGTATTGAGAAATTTGAGATTTTCACGGAGCAATTTTTCAGTAACGACTGAACCGATCAATTTCGTTTTAATCTTAATCGAATTAACAATTAATAATTAATAGAGATTACTCTCGGGCTCTGTAGTTTCTAAACTAATAAATATATGAATATAAGGTCATTAAAGGAGCCGTTCGCAGGATGTTATGCGGAAATGTGAGTATATATATATATATATAAATTCCAAATTGAATGGTTATTCTAAAACAAAAAGTCCTTTATATATATATATATATATATATATATATATATATAAAGGACTTTTTGTTTTAAAATAACCATTCAATTTGGAATTTCCTTTCCAACCACCCGATTAACCAGAAAAAAGGCACAGTGACAGGTCTTATTGATAGAGCCTTCTTTTTATCTCATCCTGACTTTCATAATAAAAACTTTGACTACATAATTAACATTCTCCTTGACAATAATTACCCTCTTGACTTCATTTATAATATTTTTAAACAAAGACTAAAATATAATTTTTTAAAGAATAACGACTTTAAGACCTTCTTGACTAATAATATCCTTGACAAAAAACCTCCTCGTTAGTTTGTGATGCCTTATACACAGTTTGTCCGGAAAGTTCCCGGACTACGTGAATTAAAAATCGAAAATGAAAGATATGGTTTATTAAACAAGTTTACACTTCA